GAAAAAAATGCTAGCTTTATAAGTATGTATGATATGCTATAGTTAATTTATATTTATTAGACACGTGTATATAGTATATTTTATGAAAACCATAGAAAATTCTTATAATTATTCGTAACTTATGTTCTATACACAAATGTATATAGTTGAACACGACTTTAGAAATATAGGGTTATTTCTATCGTTAAAATCCACATCAACCGGCTTTGGATATATATATATATATATATATATATATATATATATATATATATATATATATATATATATATATATATATAGGGCTAGGTTATTTTGTTTCTTACATTTATTGTATGCTAGAATGCACCAATAGGAATTTAGTAAATTAAATAATTATTTAATTAAATAAATATAGATATTAAATGATTTCCATAATTATATGTATATTAAATGATATCCATAATTATAATTCTCTTTTTATGGAAACTAATTAAATCCGTCATTAATGTCAGCAATAACATTCTTTCAGAATGAATTCGCATCTAGGTTTTTTTATATGAGTTCGTATTTTGTTTCAGGACTCACTCACTTAAAATACAATAAAGTTGCATGGAATATGAAGAACGAGAGTGTATTCTACTAGAATACACTCTCATTCTGCTGGAATACACTGTCATTCTTCTAGATATGAATTCATGCTGAAAGAATATTATTGTTGACATTAATGACGAATTTAATTAGTTTCCATAAAAATGAGTTATAAGTATGGATAGCATTTAATATACATATAATTAATACTAAATTCCTATTAGTGTGAGAAACATCTGAACCTACCTATATATATATATATATATATATATATATATATATATATATATATATATATATATATATATATATATATATTTGTGTGTGTGTGTGTGTGTGGTAGTGGTAGATGTGTGCCCGCGCAAAGCAACGACGATAAATAGCTTTTTTTGGCAAATAGTTTTCTTACGGGAAAATAATTATTAGATTTTGTTATTAGTTATTATGTAATAAGAAAAATTATCACTTTTAATTAAAATATTTATGTTTAGAACTTATTTTTATATTGTATGTTTATACATTTGATGTAAATTAATTATTATCGGTATCTAATTTAAGAAATGTAAATTAACTTATACTGAAGGATTTAATATTTTAAAATTGTTATTTTACTCTAAATTAATTTATTAATAACCTTCCTTAATTCAAGTCTTCAAAATTTTGGCAAGTACCAATAATGGAAATCATGTCGAAATAAATAGTTTAAGGTTTCGCGATTTATGAACTTGAAAACATCTGATTTTTCAACTTTTATAAATATTTTTACTAAAAATATTTCAAACATGAAATTAAATATTAGACTATGACCTGAGTCGAAAAACGTTCTCGAAATTTCCATCTGAGGCATGCAAGTCCCTCAACGGATAGAAACAATTTTAGTGATTTTAAGAAAATTAGTATATACTGGTTTTGGATTCTTAAAATAGTCGTATCTTTTGCATACGAACTCCATTTTGGACGTTCTTTATATTTTTGGAAACAGGGAAACACGTACTACGAGACTAGAGTGTTTGTATTTCTTACAACAACTTAAAACGAAATTTCAGTTTTTCAGACATATTCCTAAGTTTGCAGTTTGAGCTATTTGATTTGTTTACTAGATTACACGTTTGGAAGTAAGATAGCATCTGGTATCTTAAAATAGTTGGAATGAATTCATTTATTTAAAAGAAAACGCACTAAAATTCAAAGAGTCAAATTACCAAGAGACTTACTGTGAACTTGACCGTTCATAGTCTTTGACCTAAATTTCGGGATGTCACACATAACCACTGGTCCTGCCAGATCTTCCGAGGGGCCTTCTGGTTAAAAATAAACACGTGTGTGTTAGGACACTGAGAGAAAGTGTGAACACTGGATTGGGTGGATGAATTGAAGAAAGCCTGGAAAGCACGTAATTAGGGAAGCACACCCAGGGCCCGACAGGCTAGCTCGAACCCGACAATCTTGTTAACAACATTAGGCGTAAGTTCGTGAATGTAAAAAGCATACTCTCGCATGACTTCATCAAAGAAATCCGAGATCAGAAGACGAAACGCCGCCTCGAAAATTGACACGGGAACTCCGACCTTCCCCGTCGACGACTAATAAATAATAACCCCTTCCCTCGGAAACTGCACCCCATGATCAGGCATAAACCCAAATCGGAACTACAAGGACTCGAATTCCTCCGGTGTTGGATCATTTCCATATCGAGTGGACGTCATCACAAACGAAGAACAGAACACGACAGAAGAGAATGAACAAAGAGGAAAAACTAAGATGGCTGAAAAGTAAAAATTGCCTACACATAACGACTCTATCACATCAGCGGCTATCAGAAGCCATCCCCACCAAACACGTGTCCAGATCTAAGCTAGAACAACACAGCTACTCCGGAAAGACGCTGACGTTTACTAGTCTAGGGGACTTGTTAACGTATCCCACTAGGAATACGCCAAAGATAACGGAGCCATTGCTTAAGTACGACCTAGTCAATGATCGTCGCTTGTTTAGTGTCGGGCTCGGGCCCTCGCCCTCGCAGCCTACTACTTATCCCTCGGCGCTCTAGCGCCGAGGTCAACTCCACGACAAGAAACCCCAGTCAACAACAAGATAAAACAATACCAGTCGCCTCCTAGAGCGACAGGTGTAGTGCTCACGGCGCTGCCCTCTGAATATTATGCACCAATAACAGCTAACCACTAGCAGAGCACGATCCGCCAATAGGACGTCCCCATATCTTTTCGGCTCAGAAGGGACAAAATGGTATTGTCGAGACCCTATCCCCACGACGACAGGTATAAATAGAATCCTTATCCTCCAAGAGAAGGGATCACTTCTTTCCCTATTTCTAGTTAAACCCTAATTCTCTCATCTGTTTACTGACTAGACCATCGGAGCCTCGTTTCGGGAACCTCTCCCGGATGACAACCGACGTCTTTTCTTTCTGTGTTGTGACTCTCAGGCTTAACCCTGTCAAGACATCCAGAAGCGGTGTTAAGTCCCGTCGAGATATCACAACAACTGTCGTGCCCCGTGTTTCCGCTTTAGCGGGGTGTGACAATTCACAAGACTGTCGATCACCATTGTCAGTTCACAAGAAGCTTTGCAATAATTTTATATTGCACACCAATTAAGTTTATCAGCCTCTGATTTTTAAAATTCAAGGGGTTATCTATTTTGGAATCAAATTAAAGAAAGAATAATTGCAACCATTTGGGATTGAAGTCGAATTAAAGAACTCCTCCACAAAGCTACAAATGTTCGTCTTCAAGAGATCCCAAAACCTTTTTACAAACCTGAAGGAAAAACCTTCAGGGCCAGGCGCTCTATCACTCCCACGCGACCAAACAACATCACAAATTTCTTCCTCGGGGAATCTCGAAACCAACTTATCCCTATTAGCAGAAGAGAGTTGTGTAAACCGAGGACTGGGATGAGGAGAAAAAACACCCAAAAATCTTTTGAATTTTTCTTTAAAAAGCTCAAAAAAATGATCTTTAACAATACCAGGATCAACAATCCAATTACCATCTATCAATAAGCCCTAAAATTGCCATATGTCTTCTTTTCTTTTTGAGCATGTAGTGTAAAATTTTTGAGTTCTCATCTCCGTCTACCCCCCATTTTATTTTTCAGTTTTTGAGCCGTATCCGTTCCTTCAATGTTGTCTAAGTCTCTAAGCTTTTTAAGAATATCAATTCTAGCCAAAGACACATCCTCATCTTGGATTCCCACCATCCAAAAGGGAATCTATGTTATCGAGTTGACCCAAAAGAGCCTTCTTTAACGCATGATTACTAGTCTTCACCCGATTGTGCCACACCTTCAATCTCTCTTTTAAATACTTGAGTTTATTTTTGAAAACAATAAACTTATTTTCATTCAACCCCATATCAGCATTCACCGAGGCCTCGCGGATGGTGTCTTCAAAACCTTCAAGCATGAACCGCGAATGAAACATTTTAAACGGGGTGGGACCATAATCTATCTTTTCATTTTTTTAAAACACAATAGGACTATGATCCGACTACAATCTAGGAAGAACAATACCAATCATATTAGAATACCAATCCATAACACCAATAGAAACCAAGAATCTATCCAATTTTGCCATTTTTTTACACCCACGGTTCACTCCGGTAAATCTTCGGCCTCCCAAATGCATCAGTAAGATACGCATCCATATTGAATTTGTTAGAATCATCTACTTCGCTTTGACAAAAAAGAGATCCACTCCTCTCAAAACCATTTCGAACTACATTAAAATCACCGAATATAATACACTCCCCTTGATTGTGCAACATAAACGAAAGAATATTGTCCCAAATCAACTTCTTCGGTTATCCTCCTTGTGGTGCATAGACATTAACCAAGAAACAAGTGGAACGAGACATCACAACTTCACCTTTAACAACTACCACATTATTGTGTTTTATAAAAACAGGATCTCATATCGTGAGAATACCACCAGATCCCTATGCACCATTACTAGCGACTTGGAATTGATATTTACCCCACATAGACTTCACCAAAAACAAATCCAACCTTAACAACTTGGACTCTTGAATACCCAAAATACCAATACTATGATACAAACAAAGGTTTTTTATCCACCCTCTCTTGTCGTGGCATTTAACACCACCACCCTCTCTTCTTGTGGCATTACTAACAGCACATTCATTTAAAACCAGTCTGGTCACCTTTTCTTTCAATCATATGGAGCATATCGTCTTTACAACCTTTAAAGTCATACCCCAAAACTTTACCAAATTCAATATATTTTTCCATTACATACATTAAAGACCCAAGAGAAACAGTTTTTTTCCTATACTTCAGGTTATTATCACTGATATAAGAGGCCGAGAAAGTTTTTTCCAAGAAGTGAAATGTCTTGGCGAGTGAAACTTGAACACACGAAAACACAAAATTCAAGCTTCCAGCTTTCAGCTATATTTTTATCAATCAAACATAGCGCTCAATGAAAAAGCAATACTTGTGACAAAGCATAAATGGAATAACAAAATCAAATTAGCACAAGATAACCATGCTAGCTTTTAATACTCTAAATATAATATCCCTACCAACCATTTCAAAAAAAAAAAAAAAAAACATTTTTTTCAAGACTTCATCAAGTCTAGTTTCACTCTTCACCACCACCATTTGCAAGCTCCCTTTCCTCCTCAGCAGCAGCCATCAGTTCATCAAATTTATCAGTCTTCCCCAGTAATATCTCAATCTAAACAAGCACCAACAACAGATTATTAAATTGCATTTTAGGTCCCTGAGTATTGTTGGTTTTTGCAATTTTGGTCCTTATTCAAGGTTTTTGTAACATTCTTGGTCCCTAATCCAAGTAATAAGACTATATTTTTGGGACCAGAATTGTAAAAATCAGCTACACTTGAGGACCAAAATGTTAACAACAATTATATACAAATAATGGTTTCAATAACTTGTTCAATATCTTTAAGGTTCATGTAATTAGCATGTCTTTTTATCATTGCAATATTATACTCTTTTTGTTCTTTATATCTCATCAAAAACTTACATTGAGTTTCTGATATTTTTCTCGAATATTTTTTAAAAATCATTTATCCAAGCAACACATTAAGGAAAATAGAAAAACAATTACCTTGGCTTTTTGGATGGGTCTTCCTCTAGATTCATCTTTCATGTCAACAGTGGATGTCATAATCTCTGCAGTGTTTTTAAAAAGAAAATCATTAATATAAAACAATAGAAACATGCAGCATTAGAGAGATAATCAGATAACAATTCACTAATAACAGTAATCCATCCTTAGTCCTTACTTTTCTCAACAGCAAATCCACTGTTCTTGAGAATTTCTGCAATTGTGACAACTGTGGCAATAGCTGCAAGGATAACCAAAAATAACTCATGAGTCATGATAATCATAAATGTGGTTTAACTCTGCAAAAGAAGAAGCCATTTACTTGTAAAGTTCATTTGATTGCTTATCAATATTTACTCACCTTCACAATCTATACGCACATTAATAAAATCCCCAAATCTGATACATAAATCTAACTTACTATCTTTACCATCTTTAGAAAGCAGTATTTTCATGATTCAGAAAGGGTTCCAGGATTCATAGTACGCAAATACTCAACATACAGGCAGTTTTTTTTCTACAGAGGGACAGAAAACACATTAAACGATGAAATTTACAATAATCTGAATCATCTTCCTCGTGTATTAATCATCGTGACTGAATCATATGTACAAATACACAAAAACTACGAATATAGAGGCATTTTCATTTCATTTTTGTAAGGAAATAACACGAACAGGTTACGAGAGAAGAGTTATATGAGAAAATTACCCATTCCTAGGGCGGAAAGCTCCACATCATTATGCTGTTGCATATACCTCTGTAATTATACAACGTCAATCTCCATACACATTTTTTCTTAGATCGGGAAGAATCAAAAACAAAAAATCATATACGGCGTTTTACCTTAGCGAGATTAACGTAGAAGAAGAGAGGCTTTTTGGTGTTGGAAACCTGAATGCGATTCTTCTTATGATTGTCGCCTGTGATGGTTATGTTTTGAACAGCCTCTGTAATCTCCTCCATTGTCGTTCGAAAAACGAAGCGTAACCCTAACCCTGGAAACAAACACGCACAGCGATAGATTTGATAGAGAGATTAAATGGGGGCTCTTTTTATCAATTTTTGGGGGGAGGGTTTGGCCTTAAAATAGGAATTTCCAGTTTTACCCTTCGTATTTTGTTTCCAACAATCATCGCATCTAGCAAAATCAAATATATGATAAAGAAATTTTGTACATTATAAACAAAATTGTTTATCACTAATATGAATTTTTTTTAATCTTATAAATCACACTGAATCTGATTACTTTTATTACAATCTTAGCTATTGATTATGGACGCTATACTAATATTTATAATAACATAAATCTTAAGAATAAAAATATTCATCAAGAAACTATTTATTTTTTTACTGACATCAAAACAATTTATTAGAGAAGGACTAACAAGATACCGATTAAAAAATATACATTCAGATTTATGTGTCTACTTCACATGTTATAATGTGATCAACATGTAATCATTCAAAAAATAATTTTCACGCTGAAAACAAAAGTCTAGGAATTTCGGCAGTAAAGAAAATTATGAAGACTAAAACAAACATTTTAAATAGTTTCATATGCTAATCATAAAAAAAACGACAAAAGACATGGTTGATGAATTTTACAAGATAATCATCTTCTCTAAATTTATCATAAAATGGACATCTTTTTTCGTGAAATTGGTCTTGTAAAATGAATTTAACTTCATGGGTTTTGTTTTCTAGAAGAAAAAAAAAAGTAATGTCACGAATATTTCTCGAATTTCATTATTATAGTTATACAATTTTATAGACAAAATGCATGTAAATATTTGTAATAAGTTGTTTCGCAAATAACTACGAAGATTTCTTTATTTTGCGAAGTCCCGATTATTTTATGTATAAGAAGAGTTATGTTTTCATGGAGAAACCATACATCCTTAAAATGTCTTAACATCAAAGATTTGTATTTCGAACGAGTCTTGTATCTCGTTCAATAAGGCAAAAAAGGAGTTGCACGTAGCACCCCTCGTATGGGTTAAAGAAAATTAACATTAAACTTAGAAAATATACTTTAATCATTTAAAATAAACTCTTAAACCTTTAACTTGTCAACTTCTATTTCATGTTTGAAATCTTAAGAAAATCATTTAACCATACGAGAGAATGTTTAGGAATTAAAATCTAAGTTTAAAGAAAAACTTCTAAGGAATCTCTTGTCCTCCTCACGATGGAATGCCTAGGAATTAAAGTGTAAGTTTAAAGAGAAACTTATAAGGGATCTTCGGTCCTCCTCACGTGTTTCTCTCCTTTTCTCCAACTATACTTCTCTACTAGCACAACAGTGGGAACAAAACGTTAGGTGTCAAGAAGCCTAGTGAGTAAGTCATTCACTAATTACCAAACATAAACTTCAACAAGTGGATGTTTATTTTTCAAAATGCTAGTTAGAGTCAATTAACTTTTACAAGGTCTTTGGGCAAAAAAAAAGGAGCGGGTGGGAGCCTTCTGAAATGAAGATTAGTTTAATTAAATGGGATTTGGTGTTGGCTAGTAAAGAGAAGGGAGGTCTTGACATTGGCAACTTAGTCGCGTTTAATCAAACTTTGTTGTACAAGTTGAAGTGGAGATTTTTAAATAACCATCAAGATTTGTGTGTTAAAGTCTTGCAATCCATTCATGGTTTTTCATGCAGGGGTCCTCTAGTTGCGAAGAAGGGTATGTGGAGTAGAATAGTTAGGTCTATTAACCAACTACACGAAAAATGGATCATTTTCCATTTAGTTGTTTAAAGAAAAGTGGGGGATGGTTCGACAACCATGTTTTGGAAAGATTGTTGGCTCAATGATGTCTCCCTTATAATCAAATTTCTGAGATAATTCGTGTTGAAAAATGATAGAGATTGTTTTGTTAAAGATTGTTGGAATGGAGATCAGTGGAGCTGGAATTTGGCGACATGAGATTAGAGGTGGAGTCGAGCACAATCAAATGATGGAGATGATGGATATTCTTACTTCTTTTCAACCTTCATATTATCAAGATATTCAGAGTTGGAATCATGGTATCTCCAATCGTGTCAATGTTAATGATACCATGAAATTCATTGATGATGTTAGTATTCCTAATGGCTCTTTCATCGCAAGATGGAATAGGTTCATTCAAGGAAAGTTAACATTTTACATAGGAGAATTCTCATGGATAAGCTTTCAAATTGTACTAATTTGGTGAACAAGGGACTAGACATTGAATTCGTTTCTATCTGGATTATACTTAGGAAACGAAGGACAATTATCATACTTTTGTTGGGTGTGATGCTGCTTTCGCAATATGGTAGTGGTAGCCTGGTAGGCATTTGATGTGACTCAATCACTCCAAATTTTGATGTAACAGGAGACATTTTTGATTGGATAGAATCATCTCATTTACAAACTATGAAAAGATAGGTGTTGGAATCGATACATTGTTAAAGGTATATTAAGTAGCAGAACAATCTTTTTTTAGTGCTGCAAAGTTCAGAAGAGACATGCTATGTGTGAGATGATTCAAACTTTTTCATATTATTAGTTTGTGCATATGAACCGTAAGGTTAAAGTGAGTTGGGTTGCGTGCATATGTTAGGTTCATTTTTACGCATCATTTTAGCCTATTTTTTTAATCATTTTCATGACATATTATGTATATTTAGCATATGCATTTAATACGTTTTATTACATCATTAGTATGGGACAATTTTACTCGTTTACGATTAAACTGTGCAGATTTATGTAAGCATGTAATGCCATCTTCGATGATCGATAAAAGTCACATGGAAAGCCTTGCAACCACAACTGAAGTCATGGAACAACATTCACAATAAAGCAATAAAACGAAGCGAATTAATATTTTTGGAAATTTGGCAGCAATGTGCAGTCTTCGTAAAGTGATTGGATCGAGGGGAAAACGTGGTCCGATCAAGCTGAAATTTTACATAGGTCTTCCTAACCCATAAATCTTTAATCTGAACGGTAGAGATTGGATTTATACATCATTTGGTACAGATCTTGGCCTCGTGAACAGAAGCAAAAATCTACTCCGAATTAGAGTTTCAACAGCCAATTTAAAGAGAGTTATGCATCAACTCATTTAGCCTTTAAAATTAACCCACCTTATCAGCCCATCTTATGCCTTTTTTAAATCAACCCAAAATTTTGATTTTAAGGCCATTCTTGGCAACCTAATATTGGAATAATAGTCTCTCATCGATAACATACATATTTAAAATTTTAAATATATTTAAATAAATTAAATGACATCACGTTTGAACAGTAACTTCACCATTTATTTTTGTTGCAAGTGTTTTTAAATGTTTACATGAATGGTCTCCACTTTATTATGAAATTTACAAATATGGTCTCTATGTTTCATACATTATAGAACGGTCCCTGTTTAATTGTAAACTTATAGAAATTGTCCCTGTCTAATTGTAAACTTATAGAAAGGGTTGTAACTTGTCATGCGGCCTCTGGTGCTCAGTCTTGACCATCCGGCAGGTCAAACATCTCTCCACGTACCATCCAATCTCTCGTTTCATGCATGGCCACCAATAGCTAAGTCTCAAGTCCCGATACATCTTTGTGGCTCCATGGTAGGGGTGTGCAAAAAAACCGAAAAACCGAAAAACCGAGCCGATCCGGCCAATCCGAAACCGGAAAAACCGAAACCGTAATAAACCGAAACCGAAAAAACCGAGTATCTACGGGTCGGTTTCGGTTTTGATATTTAGATATCCGCGGATACCCGAACCGAACCGTTATATATATATATATATATATATATATATATATATATATATATATATATATATATATATATATATATATATATATATATATATATATATAAAGCGAATAGAAAAACAAAGAAATCTAGCTTATTTATTTCAATTCGTGCGACGTATTTTTTTTAGATTATAATACAAGAAAACTTAGCGCCATACATGTTCTTATTTTCTTTGTATCAGAAAGTGATTGTAACCCAAAGTATTTTAGAGAGTTTGTGAAGAATCTATTCTAAACTACAAATGATCCACTCAAAGTTCAACATCGGCAAATCGCAGTCATATTTAATTTACTCGTTGGTTGAACAATTATTTTTGAATATATAATTGGTTTATATTTAGTTTATAGTTTTACTAAATGCTTACATTTAGCGGTTATCCGTGAACCGAACCGTGGTTACCCGTGTTTATACGGTTCGGTTCGGTTTGGTTTTTTAAGCAATTCGGTTCGGTTTCGGTTAGTGCATGTGAGGTACCCGCCCCGCGTTCACGGTTCACAATTTTATTACTATCCGAGCCGAACCGCCCCGTAAACACCCCTACTCCATGGTGAATCAAGAACCTAGACTTATGAGGCTCCTCCAATACTATCTGTCGGGCCCCGCCAAAAATGGCACCCATATCCGACCACACTAGGTCAAAAGTCCACGACTATCGGTAGAAAACATGTCGATCTCACCCATGATCCTCTCATGCTTCCAATTTTCCTTCTTGACTCCCTCAAGTTGAGCCTCCCTGATCAAATCAAGAAGTGGGGAGTCGATAGTCATCCTCAAACAGTGCGCTCGAGCAGGAGTACTAGCCGCCTTGCAGCTCAAAGCGTCGGCGACCACATTGGCCTTCCCCGGATGATAGAGAATCTCACAATCATAATCCTTGACTATGTCAAGCCATCTGCATTGCCTCATGTTCAGATTTGGCTGATCCATAAGATATCTCAAACTCTTGTGATCCGTGTGGATTGTACATCAGAATCTATAGAGATAATGTTGTTGGATAAGGTGTCTAAGTCTGAAGCTATATTTGGTATGTACTTGACCCGACCCGGCATGGTCCATTTGGGTTGCACTTCACCGAAACAATTTGTATGGATAATCTTTTGAGAATAGTATAGTTATGATTTATTAATATATTATTAGTTATAATATATTAATATGAAATCATATTATTTAATTAGTATTGATCAAGAATTAATTTAGAATTAATTTAGTGATCAAAAGGTACTAGTTAAATATGGACTCTTATATATATAGAATGGGCTAAGCTTGCA